AGACCAATTTATATCAAAACAGGTGGATAAATGATTTTAGTTACTAACATTACCAACAGGCACCAAAAAATCCAGCACCTTTGTGCACCTTAAGGTCACACACTAAACTTCACACTGTTCACCAAGGAAAGTAAATGCCTGTGTTCCATAAGGAGTCTAAAATAACAATACTTTTAAGTGAGTCATGATGTCTTTTACCCATTATTTATTAACAAAGCAGGCAATCAATAGCCTTGTCTGCTTTATTGTGTTGCATTTTAGATTATTCATTCTTTCATTATAAATGCAAACTTTAATCTTCCCAGATTTATAGTGCTATTTAAAACAAATGACTTAATTTGTTTGTAGAAGTGGGGCATCTATTGTTCTATACTGTAAGATATTATGCTAATCTCTTCCTGTGTTAGTTTTTTCATCAATACCTGTTACAACTCGGCATAAAAATACTAGTTACACAATTCGGAGGTGACTAAAACAATTCAGTTCTGTAAGGATGTATAATGAAAGTGAAACAGACTAATTTCAAACACACTGGGAACTGTAAAAATATTTAATAGCTTGAAACCTATCGGACCAAATCCTGTCACCCTGTTCCATGCTGCAATAAAGGCAAAGTCCTCCAGCTTTTTCTCCCAATTACATGTGTAGTAGTTGCACAGGATTTTTGTCTGATACTAAAAAGGGACCTTTAGAAGTGTTCTGTAGTCCAATACTGATTTTACAATAACTTTAGGATCGATTTTTGAGTTACGAAGCAGAAACAGAGGTGATTAACTACGTTGTGGCTAGAACATCATACTGTATTTTCTTGCATACAACATGCCACGGAATATAAAATGCACCTTGTTTTTGAAAGGAACAGAAAAAAAAAAAAGATTTTTCCAGAGTTATAGTTGCATAGAACAGGGACAAAGCCTAATCTTCAGCTGACTTACCCTTTTCTGTTTAACTAAAGTTAAACCTTAGCTGCTGCTGAAGACTTGTGTTCAGAGATAAATCTATCATTTTAAAAAGAGCAGTAATTTTCAAAAGAGTTCCCAGGGATGTGAAATAGAAGAAGAGAAACCAGGAGTGGCTAGCAGAAAGCAAAATTGCTCTAAAAAAAACTTTGCTTGATTAGTTGAAAATGAGGATCATTAAAAAGGGGAGATGATCATTAAGACCTATAGAGCAAAGAGCAATAAGCATCAGCTGCCTGAATAGTAATACCACAGCTGCTGCACTGTGGAGCAGGAAACAAAGGATGCAAATCACTTTTCCTGTTTAATACCCACACCCCATTTTTAGGCTGTTTGGGGAGGGGGTGGTGGGTTTATGTTGTTTGTCAGAAAACAAGGTATCTAGTGATTGTCCATAGTTTGCCAGCTTTGCCCTGGGTAATAAGATCAGAAGTATTGAGGTATCCTAACATTGTTGAGGGGGAACACCTGGATGGCTGAAAATGCTATTTTAAAACAGGATGTAAGGGAGCCCACTACAAATTCCCCTAGAGTGACCACTGTACTGGTGGTATATTAATTATGCTGGAGATAGGTAATGGATATACTCGTTTACAAATATTTCAGGATGAACTCATGAAGAATAGATAATAAATACATAGGAGATAAGTATGCATACATTAACCAGAAGTCTGGAAATTAACTGAATACTAGGAGAATTTCTGAGTACTACTACTACATCATGAAGAAGCTAGAAAACAGTTTTTTTCACCTTCAGTTTCTCTTGCACCTTGAAAAACAGGTAACTTTAAATACAAAACTTCAGAACTTATTTGAACAGCTAAAGAGATTACTGTTCTAGGAGGAAAAAATGTTCAAAATGGCATTGGAGGTATGGCAACATTGGCATCAAACTCTGTTTTTAGAAGGTTCACAACATCAGCTTTTATTGTTTACTTTTGACCTTTAGTTTTTTCGTAATTTTTCATGCTGGTAGTTAGGACATCAATTTTAAATTTTAGATAAATATGCTATTCATACAATTAGCTGTGCATGGGAGTAATTGAATTTGAGCAAGCATGTAATCTTTCATTAGTAAAACTATTGTATAGGCCAAACTATATAGGCAAATCCTAAAACCAAAGTTGAAGGAGTCCTTTAAAAAATATTTGTCCTCTACACTTCAGATGTTATCTGAGGTGTGTCTTTAACAAAAAGTTTACTATTTATGTCAGAAAAAGAACTTCAAGCTGCTGAGCACTTACTGAAACAGGTTTAGGTTCACTTAGGGGATTTGGATACTGGTCAGGGCAAAGTGACAGAAAATCTATAAGTGGCAGAAGAACAGACAGCTGCACAGAAGGGTCAAGCCTGGAGGTTATTAAACTTGGGATGGAGTAAAAATAACTAGCTTGCTGCACTTCTGACAATAGACCATAAAAAGCTGCGTGAACTGTTCATTAGCGAGTTCTACTTTCTTCGTTCAGCACTGACTACAGTAAGACTAAACATACTGACTAACTCTCAGCAAGCCACAATCAAACATGTTGTTCTAAGACAGGCAGCATGGGACTAATTTTCTTGCTATCTAAATCTGTATGCTTATTGCGCTCGCCTGTTTCTTGACAAAACACATGCATTAAGTCTCATTAATTTCTCTACAAAGCTACCACTAAAATGTTAGGTAATTTCTAATTGCCTAAGGAATGTTAAAACTTAAACACCCCCTGGACCAGATCTAGACGAGGAGCTACACATGTATCTATAAAAGGGGGGCTGCTTTGACCTGATTCTACATGCTGCGGAGGGGTTAGCTGGGGCATACGGGTGCTACATACAGTGCAGGGTTGCCTGCTGGCAAGTGTAGATTGAGATGCTTTACCACGGAGCTAAATTAGGCAACTCCATAGTAAGGATCTCATGTAGATACCCCAGTAAAATCTCAGTCACTGACATGTCCATACAAAGTAAATACTCAGAGATGATGCAAACATTGCTGCAACACATTAATTTCAAATTTCTATAACTATTCATGTGGAAATATTTGGTCAACCTTTTTCATTTGTTTCAAAGAAAAAAAACAAGAAAGAAAAACCAACAGGAACTAACCCAGATGAAACACTAGAAGAGGGCAACTAGTGAGCTGAAAGACATGAATCCCAGTGTGGGTGATGTACACCTGATCAGCTTTCCAGCAGTTAATGAAAATACGTTTTATATAATCTAGAGGGAGATTGAGAATTCCAGTGTGAAGGAAATCAAGCAGAGATTGAATTAGTTGAAGACAAAGGCTAAAGAGATTAAAGCTGGAGTCAGGGAGCTACAGTTTTACTGAATGATTGCTTAGAGTTGAAAAGATGACTGGAAATGGGAGATTTTTACAAAGATTTCCCTGATGACACCAAAAGTTCTTGAGGTCTTGTCCTTAGCCTGAATAGCTATGTGTGTTTAGCAAGGTATCCACAGTAATTTTAACAAAATCTTTGGAAAATACACTCAAATGAGTACAATGTACATTCATTCCCCACTGAGCTCCCTTTACAAGAAATTCTGGTCAGTTATTTTATATCCTTTACAATTCTATGTTTTTACAGCATGTTACAAACATTGGTATTAATCTTGTTTTGCAGCAACCAGGCCACAGGTATTGTGAGCTATGCAGAAGAGGGCCCACAATCTGAAAGACAGATAGACAAATGGATAACGGAAAACTGGTGCAACAATGAGTAAAGTGATGGAGGTAAGAACTGGTCATAGTAAAATAATACCTGAAAGAGGCAATGATCTGCATGTTTTCTTCTTTTGTAAGATCAGTAGATTTTCTCCAGTATCCTAGAAACTCACATGTGCCCTACAAGAGCAGCTCACTAGAATGGATTTAAATATAGAGACAATATTGAACCTAATCAGTTCATAGAGGCCATCCCACATGTACACTATGGTAAGGAAGAAAAGATAAGGAGATATGTTCTGGGTGGGTTGACAGACAGGTAGGTAAGGACTATGAGGAGCTGCACAGGGAGCACAAGAAAAAATAATGTGATGTAGCAAATAAGAAATGGTATAACGATTCAAAGATAGGCAAAGAGGATATATATATGGCAGTATTTATGTATGTGCTAGATAGGGCAATGGAGATGTCAAGGAAGTGACAGGAGAACGTTTCATAGTTTCATAGTTAGTAGGGTCGGAAGGGACCT